ATGTGCCAGATTTGTCTGCAAGCAGTTGTAGGACACATACAAAACTAATTTATTTCTGTACAGTCCAATAGGGATTCATTCAACTTTCTTAAGTTAAATAAGGTTTAACTGTTAAACCTTGATATATCAACTAGCCTATGTACAGATAGGCTAGTTGACATAAATCAAAATAGAATTGGACTTTAGTTTTACCTAAGTACATTTAATTAATACACGCATTGAAAACTAACCCTGAACTAACAGCCTTAGTGTAATATAAGACCACAGTCAATGGTGGCTTTAAGAAAACGTGATTTAACATAAAGGGAAAACCCATCCCCACAAACACAGCCTGGTTGCATACTTTAAAGAACTTGTATTATTCTCATATAAACTATGCATTCATCACAGCTAGTTAGATACCATTCAAAGATACGATAGCATTGAAAAAAGTAATTTTACATTCTAAGTTCACATATCAGTACTAAGAATGCTCACAGCACCTCCATGGTCATTCAGGCACTTTGCCAGGCATTTATGACTGTCACATATTTATCTGCTCACATGACTTGTCTTTTGTGTTCTTCACAACCTGCTTCCATCAAACAATCAATAGAAACACCTGCAGTAAAATTGCAAGTTATGATCATCTGATGTCTGACATACTGATGCAGTTGCCAGTCCTAATCTTGGATGTTAAGCAAGGACTGTCTGTATTTTTCTGATCATTCTAACTATGAGAATCTAAACTATGGGATAGTTTCCAGTCTAAGACTGTACCCATATATTCTCAAGGACAATATAGCCAAGTCACATATAGAACAGACTAAGATAGTCACTGGCTTACACCCTCAACCAGGTTCAGATTGCAGAGGGATCTCTCTATTATCCATCTGCCTGTTCTTCAGCAGAAAGGCTGTTTTAACCAGAATGCAGAGAGAAGCTTGATGAGAAAGGCAGTTAACAGAGATCATACATACATGCGTTTGTTTTTTGTAATTAGACACAGTGTTAGTAGAAACATCTACTTTAAGCAATAGTTGCTTATTTGCACAAACAGAAGGACCATATGTTCCTGTGGGTGTGGAAGGATGTTGATAACAAAACTAGAAACTTCATACATTTCATTGCATGAAATGTTGCACGGTTCCTTCCATGAGATGTTGACATCTGAGTCATAGTCCTCAACTCCTATCTTAAACCTTTTTCCTTAGTAAAAAAAAATGTGCTAAATTGAATAAAAATATAGCAAGCAACTAAACAGAAAACAGATGCCTGGGAAATATTCAAACTTGATTGTTTGAAATCAGAAAATTAAAACTGTAGCGGTGCAAATGAATGAATAGTTGGATGTTGTCACAAAGTAAGTTAAGAGACTGTATTTGTTTGTTCCCTTTAAAATAATCCACCAACAAGCTAAGTGTTCACTGGATCCTAAAAGGATGATGGCTCAGGCCACTCTCCTATGACAGCAAAGGATAAATATGCCCAAAGCTTTTGAACATTGAAGCGCACACTGCTGTATTATTTCTATCCAGATGTTTGTTGACATTCTTAAACAAGTTTGCGGGTTTATGGGATTCTCATTTGCACTGATTGTTCTTCAACAAGGCTTGATCTTCAACAGGCTTTTTAGAAGTAATTTCAGTGTTTAAGTTGTTTAAATATTTTGAATGACATTGTTAGGAATTGTCCGTTTATTGATTTTTAACTTCTTGATACAGGTATAGTTCAAACCTCATCATTTATGCTTCTATTCTCTTAGAGCAGTGATTCTCAACCTTCCTAATGCCACGACCCTTTAATACAGTTCCTCATGTTGTGANATCAATCACATTATTTATTAATAATGCTAGATATTATCCACACCTAAAATTATGTCAGGAGAAGAGGGAAAACTAAACTTGAAACATCTAAATATGATATTAAGGCTTCCCCAGCTGTAGGCTGGCAGTGAGGTGAAGAAAATATTACTAGGCTATGTCATGTAAAAACAGTTACCAGGGCATGTTTGCGCCACTGTTAGAGGGATATGGGAATATCCCTAATTGTCTCTCCAACCCAATATTGTCAAACTGCCTTGGAGTAGCTCTTCAGTTTCACAAGCCAAGTTCTTTACCATTGCTGGTCCATGACCCTTTTAACTGAAGTTGCCAAGGAGTCTGTCTTTACCCGGAGACCCTGGAAATTTTAGATGCAGAACTTTCAACATTGTTGTTCTTCTAAATCCACTCAAGTGGTGGTTTATAGCAGAGAGTGTTGATGTGGGAAGTCTCCTCAGAGACATAAAACTGATTAGTAATGACTAGCACTGTCTCCTTCTTTCCCCGAGATTTCCATAAAGTTTCTGTTTTGGCTCCAATGAAATAATACAAGTTATACAGCTGCAATATTTGATGGGTTGCAAAACTGGGCTTCAAACTAAACTCAGCAAAATCTATTTGAAATGTTGTTTGTGATTTTATAATTTTTTATAATTTTTCATCATGATAATTCCCCTCCCCATGAAATAATTGTAAAATTACAGTGAACTATCCTCCAATCCTCAGAATGAACCTGAAACCATGGACAGTGAATCAAAACCAGCTGATGCAGACAAGGAGCCTATGTTCCCTGCAATTGACCCACTAAAAACATCTGTTTCTCTGTGCTAGTAATTCCACCTTTTAAGAAGAGTTTTTAAAAGATGGGAACAATTTCTGCAAATACCAAAAAAAAAGCACCTAACCCTTAGCTCATGCATTTGTAATTACCTGGTTTAGTCTGCACACTTCATTGGTATGAGTTTAGATATAATTCTGCATCTGAATTCAATCTATGAAGGAGAAAGAGAGAGGAAGGGAGGTACGAGTACTGGACACTTAAATATTCTTACATCTGCCAAAACATTCCTGTGCCAAAAAAAGAGAGAGAGTATATCTTACACTAGAACTGTTTTCTAAAGAAGCCACTTGACTCCGATTAAATGTTTAATTTCCTTAAAACAGTATTTTGGACTTAGGCCTTTGTTCTTCCTGGTAATTGGGATTTCTGTTGTAGTTTAGGAATTTCACTTATCTGCTGGCTTTGTTCCAGTGATCCAGCTGGCACAGTAAAGCTGAAGGGAAAGGAGCAGCAGGCATCCTTTTGGTGGCTTTCTATTTGGCAGGGAGCAGAAATGTAAGATGCCATCAGCTGGCTATGTGCTTAACAAGGAATTCTTGTACTTTGGAATGAAACATAGACCAGGCAGAACTTCAGTATCTTAAGCACCAACTTCTGGAGTGGGAAAAAAAGGAGATTTCAGCACAATGTTTGTTGTTTGCTTGTTATCCCACAGTGAAAATCTATTGATGGTGCATCAATACAGGGAGACCAGAAAAATCCAACATAGTAATATAATTTCTGAAATTTTGGGGTGGTTTTTTTCCCCCATCGAGCTCAGGAAGAGGAGCCTCCTGCTCCTCTTCTGTAGCTCGGACTGTGGGGAAAAAAATCAGGACAAAATGGGGAGCAGAAGAGGGAGTTTCCCCCCTCCCGACCAGAAAAAAGATCGCTTGGAAGAGAGTCGCACAGAGTTCAAGAGATATTTGGGGGGAGGGGGTAAGCCGATCAAGGACGGAAGGAGAGAGGAAGAGAGTGGAGAAGGAGAGGGTGGTTCCCATACTTCCATGCTTCTCCAATGATGAGTTGTCCTGTGAGTTATACGTGGTGATGTAGAAACCGGAATTTAATTCTGGTTTCCAACAATTGGAATTCCAACAATTTCCACCCATTACAGACAATGGATTCGCTTAACGACTCTCGCAAAAAAAGTCATAAAATTAGACATGGTAGCATGAAAATCCACTTAACGAACAGTGCAACTTATGACCATAATTCTGGGCTCAGTTACAGTTGTAAGTCAAGGACTATCTGTAGTGTGCATCCTGAGACAACTTCTGCAGTCATTTTTCATGAGAAAATTCTTTGATGCATCTCTTTCTTAAGTGACTGTCTCCTAACTTCTGCATTAAGGCATAATATAGTGAAACCTTGTTTTAGTGGATTAATTGTATTTCAGGATGTCCATTGAATGAGAAAAATTTGGCCCAATGCATGCAAAATCTACTGCATCAAGATCTGGTATATGGAGGTTTTTATAGAGGCATAAAATTGTGATGCAATTATGAAATACTTCCCTTGACAAGTTATTTTCTAATGCTGAGGATTGCTGCAATCAAACTAAATCTTGATATCTTCGTTATGTTGCATAAATACAATAAGGCCTTTACAAAACTCCAGGAAACTCAATTATTATGTGATCATAGTCATAGCAGGTAGCAGCAGTTAACTGACTTTTTCCGATCTCAGAAGGTTATGCAAGGTTGGGCCTGGAATAGTCTTTAAATGGGAGACCACCACAACTTCCAGGGAAAAAAGTTGAAAAACATCCTGGAAGAAGAGAAAGACAAAAGTATGGGTGTGCCCAGGTATCTACTAGAAATCCACCTTGGTTCGTAATGCATCAATACCTGGATTTTTTAAAAATTTGCTTTTGTGCTTCCCTTACCATTTTGAGCCAGGCCTTCTCAAAGCTTACTTCTATCTTAAAACTTCTCCCATTTAATGACTATGGCTGGAGCATTGATTGGGTGTTTGGTGACATCCAAAATGGTTGGTTTCAAGGAGAAGTTTCTTAAAACCAATGCATTTCCTTTCTAAAGGTTAGGTGTCACTGGTTTCTAACCACCATCACTATTTTTAATTGTATCAGTTGTAGTGGAATTGATTTATAAGTCATAAAAATACACCGGTGGCAGGTTACCAAATCTTATGTGCTATTATGGCAAATGTTCTAAAGGAGATCCCAGCTGTGGTAGGTCAAATGGCCGAGATTTGGATATTTTGGATATTCTTCTATGTAGTAAAAGCTGGTTTGAAGTTTTCTCCTTCCCTCCCAGTTTCTCAAAATTGATAGCTTCATGTTCGTTCTACCCATAGAATTTCTCACCAATTTTTTTTTGCATCCTTTGTTCTTTTCACCCTATCTCTCTATGCAGAGTTGCTGGAACTGTGGCCGTAAAGCCAGTGAAACCTGCAGTGGTTGCAACACTGCACGTTACTGTGGCTCGTTTTGCCAACATAAAGACTGGGAGAAACATCACCACCTCTGTGGACAGACTCTACAGGCCCAGCCACAAGGGGAGACACCAGCAGTCAGCTCCTCCGCAACACCGAATAGTGGCGCCGGGAGCCCCATCGACACCCCACCAGCAGCTACTCCTAGGTCAAACACCCCTGGAACTCCAAGCACCATAGAGTCAACTCCTCGCTAAGACTGAACTTTAAAATACTTAAAGACAAATACAAAGCAAAACAAAATCCTCATCCTCAGATACTCAAAGGTTTCTACTGAACTTTTACATTTCAATATTATAAAAGAAATTATACTGTATCTTGAGGTAGAAGCAAAACCCAGAAGGCCAGTAACGGGTCATAATGACTTATTCTGGATAACAAAGATATCTTTTCTTTAGGAAACAGAGAAGATTGAACATACACACAATGATAGATTTGACCTCCTCCCTGTTATTTTCCAGTAGCTGGGATTTTAAACTAGGTGACCTCATTAACACGATGCTTTACCAAACAGCAAACCAAGAGATTGCTAATTGCTGTTGAAAGCAAAAATGCTAATAATATAAAGTCACAATTGTTCTTTGTAACAAAAAAAAATGGATTTTTTTTAAACTGCGAGAAAGAGAGAGAGAATGAGAGAGAGAGAGAAAGTAAGAAAGAAAGAAAACAAAACCCCCTCATGGGCTTAAGCATTGGATAAAGCAGCAGACATTTTAATAAGAAGATGAATAGCGTCCATGGGTTACTGACTTGAACTCTGAAGACCCGTATCAAAAACACGCAGATGTGCAGCAGATTGGAAGGAGACACAGATGTTCATTTTTTTTTCTTGTTTCTGAATGAAATAATAATAGCCAGGTCAACAGAATGAAAAATGGAAGATGATTGCAGTGGGATGAAGGATTTAAAAGAGCAGCAAAGAGAAAAAAAAATACCATCACACAAAAATCTCCTCTTCTTTTTTGTCCTTTTGTTTCGTTTTTTTGGTGGGGATTATTTTTCTGTTTTGTTTTGGTTTTGTATTTTTTTTTTAGACCAGAAATAAGAACACAGCCTGCAGTTAATTAGCATTTTGGCAGCTATAATATCAACCAGCTGCCTCTATCCTTCCCCCTCTCAAAAAGGGAAAAAAACAACCACCGAGCTTCAAAATTTTCTTCACTTTTTTTTACAAGCTTCCACAGTGGAAGACCATCCGGTCTGTTTCACCTCGTTCGTTTTTGTATCAGCAATGGTGACAATGCAGTGACTCCAGCTCCAGATCTCATCCAAATCCTNACCTAAAACCTTATCCATTTGGTTTACAGTCTGTTTAAACTGAGTATCAGTAAAAAGTATTCACTATTCTAAACTTAAAAGAAAAAGTCACGTTACTATTGAATTATAATAAAGAAAAAATATGAACATCTTTCTGCTTAATTTTTAAAGCAAAGACATTTGTGGATAGATCACAAAGCAAGTCTAGCATAATTGTATGAAAGTTGCAGCATGTTCAGAAATAGTATCCTTATCTGTATGTTTTCTTCCCTAAGGACAAGACTTAATCTTATTTTTAAAAACAACCAATAGGCTATCCTATTTGAGTAGCTTTCAGTTCCATTCACAAAAATAAACCTTCATATATAATACATCAATATGTACTGGCAATCCATGAATATTTTATGAAAAAGTAAAAATAATATTACCGTATCTCAGAAGTATAGTGATATAATCCTGTATTGTTGCCAAGGAAAAAGAATTCAGCAAACCCCAGTAAAATACATGGGAAGTAATTCCATATTATTTTCATAATAGGTATAGTATTGACTGCTTTGAACTTTTTAACTTTTTTCCCCAAAGATATATTGATAGGCAAATGGGAACATTGTTTAAAAATTATATAATTACTAAGGTCAACGCATCAAAATGATTTCTTTTTTAAGAAGCTTCTCTGTAATAAAAAAAGTTTACAAAAAACTTTTCATATATCAAATAAAAATCAATCAATGCAATGTAGACAAATAAAAATAAAATAAAATTGAGGCAGCAGATCTCAAAATAAACAAAAAAGTAGCAATTGGCTATCTTTGATATACATGCAAAAAACTGTCCAAATAGGATTTTTATGCACTAGTTGTAGGTTTTAAAAAAATAACGTTTTATTAATGTTTTACGAATCACAAAAATATAACACAAAGAAATAGCAGAAGTAAGCTGAAAGAAAAAAGAAAACATAAAGAAAGAATTTAAAAAATAGAAAGAAATTTCTGATTTCCTGTGCAACAAATATGAGTACATTTATAAAATTCTCTCCTACTATACGATTACAAAAATAACTCACTTTTTTCTGTAATCCTTTTTTTCCTAGCCTACAAAAACCACAATCATAACTTCATTTTTTGTTTCATGCAAAAAAGTCCATAAAGGGTTTCCAATCAACCATAAATGTAAATAATTGGGGGTTTTTTCTGCTAATCAATGAGGTTAATTTAGCCACCACTACAAGTTCCGTAATCTTCACCAACTATTCCTCTGTTGTAGGTAGTGTCAAGCCTTTCCACTTTTGTTCATTTAATAGTCTTCCTGTAGTTGTCATACATAAAAACAACATTCCATGACTTTTTTCAGGACTATTCATTAGTCCCAAATGAAATGTTTGTGGTTTCAATTGTATTTAATCTTCAATTGTATTTAATCTTCTAAATCATTGGAATCAATTGTATTTGTATCCAAAATGTTTTGGCTTGTTTAGATGTCCACCAAATATGATAAAAGATTCCTTCATGTTGTTAACATTTTCAGCAAAGATTCAAAGAACCATGACACAT